TATGACTTTAATCTCACATTACAACTTTATCCTCATAATATTATGACTTTAATCTCACAGTACAACTTTATCCTCATAATATTATGACTTTAATCTCACATTACAACTTTATCCTCATAATATTATGACTTTAATCTCACAGTACAACTTTATTCTCATAATATTATAACTTTAATCTCGTAATGTTATGACTTTATTTTCATAATATTATGACTTAAATCTCATTAGAACTTTATTCTTAAAATATTATGACTTTAATCTCGTAATATTATGACTTTATTCTAATAATATTGTGACTTTCATCTCATAATATTACAACTTTATTCTCATAATATTATGACTTTAATCTCATATTACAACTTAATTCTAAAAATATTTGAATTTAATCTCATAATGTCACAACTTTATGTGACTTTATTCTAATAGTATTGACTTTAATCTCATAATATTACAACTTTATTCTAAAAGATATTTTGAATTTAATCTGATGTTACAACTTTAATGTTGTAAGATTATGACATTATTCTCGTAATTAAAAATAAAACCTTGTTTGTGGCCCTAATACTCTGTCATATCAGAGACACATGAAAGTAAGTAAAAAAATGAAGTCTTCAAGTTGTTTGGTTACTAAGAAATTTGGGGGAAAAGTACAGTCAATCAGTGAAGTCCAGATAACAGAAATCATTTAGATGTGATGACAGAGGCAAAGCTTTTATTTAAAAAAAAAGGGCAAATCTAAACTGTCATACAAAAAAAAAACACAGAGGGGTGAAAGAGTTTGGTTGTGAACTTTGATAGATTTAGCAGAAAAACAAGTTTAAACACACACATGAGGATCCACACAGGACAGAAACCATTTGCTTGTGATATTTGTGAACAAAGATTTAACCAAAAAACTACTTTAAACACACACATGAGGATCCACACAGGACAGAAACCATTTGCTTGTGAAGTCTGAACAAAGATTTATCCATTAGACAAGTTTAAGCAGACACACAAGTATGGAGAGAAAACAGACTAATTAAGTTGGTGTGTTTGAAAAAAAAGTTTGAAAAAAAAGTTTTTCAAGGAAATAATTCAAAGGTCCGAAGGAAGTTTAAATTTCCCAGCTTTTTAGCAGCATGTAAACGCATCATTTACGCACAAATCTGGGAGCTCTCCGGCAGCGTGAAAACAGTCTAAAATGATTTGTGCAACTGTAACCAGATCTGTGCGTAAATGTAGTTTTGTCTGTGCGTATTTGAAGACTTGTGTGCGTAGGAGCCAGTTTGTATGTGTAATTATCAGATTTGTGAGGTTGAAGATAAAAAATTTGTGTGAAATTTTAATGTTTGTGTAATTTATATTTGTGTGTGTACTTTTATTTTGTATTCATATCTTATTAATATTTGTGTGTCCATTTAAATACACACAAATACCTGAAGTTATGCGCAAAATGTTTTTATGGGGTGACAAATCACGTTTTACACACAAATTTTATTACGCACAAACTTTATTACGCACAGACAAACTTTATTACGCCCACACAAACTTATTAGTCTATTTTCTCTCCATACAACTAAAACCAAAGGTTTTTCATTCACTCCTCACTTGATCATTCAGTGATAGTTTCCTGGAGGTATTCTTAAAATCTGTTCAGTTCTTTGTGTAATATTTTGATGATAAACAGGGTTTAGTCCAGTTAGTATTAAAAACTGAAATGATCTTCTGCAGCTGGTCGATGCTCAGAATATCTGCTGGGGATTCTTCAAGCTACCCCTCCAACTCGCAGGCCCCCTCCTTTAAAACCCACGTGTTTTCTTTGTTGTTGTTTTTTACACTGAGGGGTTGTGTTGTCCATTTGTACTATATTTTGTTTTTTCTTGAAGCTTTCTTGTTTTTATTGTAGATTTTAAATTAGGTTTTAGATATTTTACTGTTTTTACTTAGTTTTTTATTTCCTGCTTTTATTTTTTTCAGTTTTTTGATTGAAAAAAATTTTTTTTGCCTGTTGGAATGTGCACTGTAAAAAATGAAATGTTGGATTTACTTAACCATGTTATGTTACCTGGTTCCACTTAACTGAGTTGAGTAAATTCAAAGCAATATACCAGTTTTTTAGCCAAAGAACATGAGTATGTTGCTTTGAATTTACTCAACTCAGTCAAGTGGAACCAGGTCACATAACATGGTTAAGTAAATCCAACATTTCATTTTTAGAGTGTGGATACAGCACTTTGGTCTGCTGTGGTACAAAAAGTGTTTTATCGGTTCACCTCAAACCACTCTTTTTGAACTTTATTACTGCTCTGTGATGAGGAAGGCCACCCTGATCACAGAGGACCCCTCTCATCCCCTCCATCACTCATTTTGCTCCCATCAGGCAGAAGCTTCAAAGTTTCTCTGGCCCGTAAAGCAAAACAAAAAATCCTTTATTCCGCTTGCAATAACCACTCTAAATACTTTTAAATAATAATAGTAGTGTAATGTATTTAACAGTTGCTTTTAACAGTCCTTTTTATGTTTTTATGGGTAGCTGAGTGTGTTGCATGGTGTTGTTGGAGCCCCGTCAAAGAAAGATTTCTGTCACCATCTGGGACAGACAATAAAGTTATTCTATTCTATTCTATTCTATTCTATTCTACTGATAATATTGGATTGGATACTATTACCATTTTGAGGTCATTATCTGTAAAACTGACTGTGTTGAGGCTGTTTTTGTTTTTAAGGTCAGCTGGCAGTGGCAGCCACTTTAAATGTTTTTTTAAATGTCATTTCTTGTGACTTCATCTATATAAAAATGTAACTTTATTTTAATAAAACATTACAGATGTGTAAAATATAAATAAAAAAAATAAATGCACATTGATTTTTTTTTCTCTGTGACCTACATGTAAGTGTGAAAAATAAAAAACCTTCTGATGCCTTTGGATACCGCTTGTTTTGAATCCACAAACTTTATTTACCTTGGCGTGAGCCGGTGCTTTACAGTACATTCAGGATAGACATTTTGTGGTATTAACAGCCCATTTCAGTCCTTTAGCTTTGAAAATCTTGGTGATTTTATTGTAAGTATTGCATCTTCAACATACACAACTAGAAATACCATCATCATCATCATCATCATCAGAGTGCATGTTTCACAAAGAACGGCCACAGGTTGAGAACAACAGGAAGGCTCCCTACTGCACACAGGACTGTTTGTTTGAGAGAGGGCGTCTGATTCGCTCTCAGCCTCCGGAGAGAGCGACGCCAGAACAAAACTGCACCTGCTGGTCCACTTCTGACCAAACCTGAAAAACTAGAACTCAAAACTTACAGATGTGAAAAATATAGCTTTGTGAACGTCAGCTTATGAAACACGCTCAGAGATTTGCAGCAGCCTTTATTCAGACCCCCCGATAAACTGATCCAGGACCAGTCTGCACCAAATCGGCTGCAGTCCTGGACAGACTTCATTTTACCGAGTGTTTCTCCAAAGGCTAAAACCTAAAAAAAAAAAAAAAGAAGGCAGCCTAAAGAGATGTATGCAGACTGGTTAAGGATTAGCATTAGTTAGAATGTGAGGCTATAACCACACACGCCTGAGAAACAGACTGTTTTTTTTGTTTTGTTTGTTTTTACACTATCAAACAATATCAGAGCATTCTGCCACATTAGACAGGAGAGACAGAGAGTTTCCAAACACTCTGATTTGTCCCGTCGCAGTAAAACACACGGTGTCCTACAGATTAAAGGTCTGGTCTCTGATCATGGAGTGAAACCCATCTGTTGTCAAATGTGGGGCCCCTTTCTTCAGTCAGCAGTGCAGCTTCATACAACCAACACAGGAAGAAAAATAAAACAGAAATCAACATTAAGATGAAGGTCATTAAATTAAACAGGGTAGAATAAAATGTAAACTGTCCCTCTAACAGAGAGAGATAGAGAGAGGACACTGAGGTGTCCTGAGGTGTTTTTGGCATTTTATATTTATTTTTTACATATTTTAAGCACCAACAATGGTGACTTTCTAATTGCCAAGTCCAACAACCTCAACAGACGTGTCAAACTGCACACCCCTTCAGATAAAATAAAGGTTTGTTCTGTTATGGTAAAAGTCTGAGGCCTTATAAGACGTATTTTATCAACTAAAACACAACTCGAGCACAGTCCTCAGAGTAGAGGAACGTGGAGTTTGAGACCCCCTTTTATTTTGTAGTAGCTGGCACAGTATTTGCCAGTGAAGTCTTGGCTGTCAGACCGTCTTGTGCAGAGGCGACTCAACTTCTGCCCCCTCCCCCACCACCAAGCAGGAAGCAGTTTTTAGATCCACCGTGCTGCCTGGGGGGTGGGGGTCGGATCTGAACAAGGCCGGTGACTGAAACAGGTGAGGCTCAGCACCAGGAGCAGCTTAGGGGCCAAGTACATTTCAAGTGTCCATTGAATAAAACAGAGAAAAATGGCTACATATTTTTATTCCCTAACCCCCTCCCACCCACCCTGAAAACAATAAACTCATAACCCATAAAATATACTTCTTTTTTTTTTTCAAATAAGTAATGAGGAATATTTAATAAAAAAAATAGGAGTAAAATAAGACAAAACCAAAATAAGTTAACTTTTTCTCCAATGCTTGTGCTCTGTAAGGGACTGAGAAATAAATATTCAAAATGGTGGAGGGGTTCTTCTTTTTTTTTCTTCTTTCCACACACACAAAAAACACACAACCGTGAGGAAAGGAAAACAAAGAAACCTGTGGTTGAAGAGCAAAACCAGTGAAATTATTGGCAATTATTGACATCATACAACCAGTTTTGTTTGTTTGTTTGTTTGTTTTTTATCTTCTCGCCACACGTCAAATACCAGAGCGCCAGAGGAATGCCACATGCACAAGTCATAGAAACAAAAGAGAAAAAAAAAATCAAATAAATTAAAAATAACAATAAGCAGTGCCACGTAAAATCTGCACCCTCCAACACAACTCCTACGGGGATGACGATCTGCTCGGGTGTTTTTTTTTTTTTTTTTAAAGTTACACAGGCTCTCTCGTTCCTTCTCGGGGTGTGGGAACTCAAACCAGCAAAGGAAAGGTGCATTCACTGCCGCCGTGAAGAGGATACGGCAGTGAACGCACCGCTAAACGTTGTCCTAAATATTGAATTTAAAATGTACAATAAACACAAGTCAAACAGCAACAGAGGCAGAGCTCTACTTGTTTTTTTGTTTTTGTTTTTTAAAGAAATTCATTTTTAAAGATTCATTTGTTAAGCTATGTGTATGCACAAAAAAAATAATAAAAATAATGATTTGTTATTGTTTGTTTTGGACGGTCAAGCACGAGTCTTTAAGTAGAAGAGGAAAAAACTAGGAGTTGCAACTGAAGACATGAACTACATGAGTTATTGCTTGTTACTGCTGGAAAAAGGACGTACATCTATTCCAAAGTTTGTAGCCGTTTGGACTTTTTCCTTGTTGCTGTTGTGTTATTTCTCTTCTCAGTTTGTGCCTTATTTGAAGGATAGCTTTAAAGAAGGCAAGTGTTGGGTAGCTTGTTGTAGCTGCTTGTCTGGTGGGGGGAGAGAAAACGAAACGAAACTCGCACGCACGCACAAAATTACAATTTTCACTTTCCGAAAATGAACCAACATTAGGGCAGGAATGTTTTCTTTTTCTTCTTTAAATATAGTCCTCCACATTGGCGGCTGTTTCCTTTCATGCTGGGCTAAAAACAATCAGACGGGCTGGGTTTGCTTTAAGAGCCCGGCTGTGGTGGATCTGACCTGCTGCCTCGTCGGTTGCTTTGTGTCACGGTAGCACCAATTTAGGAGTCCAAGCCTCTGTGGTGTCAAGATCATGAAGTAAACAAAAAAAATAAAATAAATAAATAAACGATAAGACAAGAATTATATTTAGAGCTGCAGGGATGATTTTCAAGGCCAAGCTGGATTGATATGGCAAGATTCACCCCAGTGTTAAACCAGTTCACGTTTATCTGAGCCCCACAGCAGAGACTTTAAAAGCATCAGGTCCACATTAAAGAATAACTTCTGCAGAAGTGCACTGGGAGGTAAATTAGGGGCTGTCAATCTTCTAAAAACTTCCAAAAACTCAAACGTTTCATAAAGGAACAAGTAAAAACGAACGACTTCTTTCTGTCGTGAACACATGAAGTATCTGATCTCCCTTTAAAAGAACCGGTTGGCAGTCTCGTATCACTACTTTGGGGGGGTCTCCGGTACCAGTATTGGTCGGGGTGGCTCAAAGTCCAGCTCCTCCAACCGCAGGGTGTGCTGAAATTAAAACGAGTCGGCGGCGGCAGCGAGGGGCTTGGAGGTGGTGGACAGTGGGATCGGTGGTTTGTCAGGCCGCCGTCGCAGGTGACAGCATGGCTGGATGGAGAAACAGACAGCAGGGCAGGCAGGTTTGGCAGGGCTGGAGGTGGTGGCTTTAGGAGGAAAAGGCAAGTTTGACACTGCAGGAGGAGTAGCCCTCGTCACTGGCCATGCTCTGCAGGCTGCTGTGGTCATCCAGGTCGCTGGTGCTGGCTGTGCTCACACTGTCCAGCTCTCCATGGGAGAACTCCGTGCTTTCTACGTCCACCTCGATCTCCTCTGCAGCCGAGGACCGAGAAATGGATCGATGAGGAAAGAATGAGAGAGAGAGAAAAAAATTGAGTTAATTAAAACAATCTTCAATATCTATTTGGTGACAAATCATTCTGTGAACTAGGCTACATATTGTCACCTTCTTAAAAGGGATCTAGGATTAGTTGTAACATTAAACTTTGTTTGATAAACATTTATTTTAACTGTAAAATTAAGACTGTAAAAATACTGTAGGATGTTTAGTTTTGTAAATTTTTAAAAATATATTTTTACACACAAAGCATTCTGGGTAAATGATGACCTTGGTGCGAGGCTGCTAGCGAGCTATATCCACCCTGAAGGTTAATCTTGGACAATATCTGATGATCGACTCTTTTAAATGAAACCAGAGAGCGTTGACAGAGAGGAGAAGGTAGAAATGACTCAGCCTGGAACTGAAAATATAGATGGAGGACAACAGAGCTGCTTCATGGAAGAAGAACCTCAGCTTAGCTTGTTAGCCTTTGTGCTAGCACCGATGCTATACTGCCTTATATGTATTAGCTCAGTGCTAGCGCGACAAACAAGCTAATCTGAGGTCCTCCATCTACGTATATTTTCAGTTCCAGGCTGAGTCTTTTCTAACTTCTCCTCTCTGTCAACGCTCTCTGGTTTCATTTAAAAGAGTCGATCATCAGATATTGTCCAAGATTAACCTTCAGGGTGGATATAGCTCGTTAGCAGCCTCGCACCGAGGACCTACCCACGTCATCATTTACCCAGAATGCTTTGCGTGTAAATAAAATGGCCCCGTCCGTGTAATATATTTTTAAACTTTTAGTTTAAAAATGATAAAAACTGAACATACTACAGTTTTTTTACAGTCTTTATTTTACAGTTAAAATAAATGTTTATCAAATAAAGTCGAATGTTACAACTAATCATCGGTCCCTTTAAAATAAATCGCTGAAGTCATTTTTTCAAGTTTCTCAAGAAACACAAAAAATTTTTTTAAATGTACTCGACTGTTTATTTTGATAGACTTGAAAAAAAAAAAGTAAAAAATATGGTGAATATTTCAGACAGGTGTCAATATTTAGATTGTTTAAAATCTGTGTAATTTGTAAAAAAAAAAAGTAATAAATGATATCTAATGATAATGATATCCAATATCCAAGTGATAAATACACATTATAAATGTTCTGTACTTTAAGCAAGATTTTATCTTTACAAGATTTTGTTAAAACTATTGTTCTGTGTCTTTTCAGTACCAGAAACCCTCGGTCCAGTCCTCACTCACCTTGGTCAGAGTCAGAGCGGTCAGAGCAGAGGGTGGAGCCAACGCTGTCCATGCGTATCCTCTCGCCCTCCCCCAGGCTGCTCTGGACTGCAGCACCGCTGCCCCCCCTCAGCAGCTCCAGCTGACGCTGTAGGTGCCTCTGCTCCCGCTCCAGAGACTCCAGCTGGTACTGGCTCTTCCTGTCCGCCTCTTCAAGTTTCTGCTCAGAGGGGACAGAAAGGTGGGGACAGAGGAGGGGGTCACTGGTGATCACCTGAAATCAAGGCTTCTGTGCCAGCCCCAAAACAAATGCAAAGATTTGGACGGACGAATGCGCGTTTAGACAAGAAGCAGATCAACTCCAGAACATCTCACAACAAACAATTTCCTCACTTGACTTGCAGACACACACAGTCTTGTCTCATAATAGTCACAGTAACGTTATCACTGCAAAAACTGTCCATCATAAAGTTTTAAAATCTTATATCCAGCCAAAATGTCTTTTTGATCTTGTTTTGAGACTGATTTACTAAACAAGAACTGATTGTGTAAGAATAATAATCTTGTTTTCAGAATGTGTAAGATTATTTGTCTTGTTAGTCTGAAAATTTGACTCAAATTAAGTCAAAAATTTCTGCCAATGGAGTAAGAAAATTTTACTTGGTAAGATTCTTGAAATAAGAAAAAATTGAGTCAAATTAAGTAAATCAGTCTCAAAACAAGATCMAAAAGACTTTTTGGCTGATATAAGATTTTAAAACTTGGTAAGATGGACAGTTTTTGCAGTGTGGAGGAGCTATTAAGGAACAACAAAGTAATGAGATACTACTAGGTGGTATTTACTATGTATGTAATCAAAAAATAGTAATATTACAACTGTAGAAACAAACAAAAATGCCTCCCACGTTACTAATTATTGTATTCAGTGAGAAACTGCTTGTATTTTCCTCCATCTTACCCTGAAAATGATTTGACACTCTTGTGGTGCTCACATTGACTCCTTGACTTTCTGCCTTTGTTAACAGGTTGTGTCATTAGGATAGAAGCAGGGGCCGTGACAGTGCCTGACACAGCAGAGCAGTGCTCTAACCTTACAGCCCAGTGTCACGCTCGCCAGCACTAACGAGCGTGACTCTGAGTGACGGAGCAAAACAATAGGCCATCAATAAGCAATGGAGAGACTCCAGTTGACAGCAGCAGAAGTGTAGTGGGGAACAACAGTACTGGCTTTATACTTCCTCCCCTCGACACGTGGACGCACACCGACTGGTGCTTTTCACACGCAGACTGCTCGGTCCGAGGCACTCACATGCCAGTTTTTTTTTTTTTTTTTTTGCATAGATGGAAAAATGTGAAGCAGAATCTGTTTGTGCTTTAAATAATTTAACAACTCAATAAAATGTTGACAATTAAACATGTTGTATGCATGTCCGAATCAAGCTTGTGTTGATTTTCAACAGGTTTGGCAATAATCTTACACTGAGCCTATGCAACCTATAACACAATCCAAGCACTAACTCACAGTATAGGTGGGGTAATCTGACATATGATCAGCTGTTTGAAAGAATCTGTCAGATTACATTACCAACCAACTAAATAAATAAAGGAAATCTAATAAACAAAATGTTCCGTCTTCATATTACTTTCAATAAGTAACTATGACGCCTTGTATGTTTTCCTCAGCATCTAAAACAAATGAACTAAATAAAACTGCTTAGAAGTGTTTGAGTTGCAGGTTTCAGTTCTGCTCCCTGACTGCTGCCGCTGCTGTTTTGTTCAGCAAAATGCAGCCCTCTATGGAAATAAGACATGCTTTGAGCAAAACGTATCTGTCGCATGGTGTCAGGTTTCTCAACAGAAAAACTGCTGTAAAAAAAAGGGGTGGGGGGGCAAATATCTTTTTTTGTCATTCTGTGTTCTGTTGCTCTGCTTCACAAACATGTTATAGTTTAGCTCTGCCACAGGGGGCAGTCTTGGGAATATGTGAAACAACCTGATGTGCAGTTTTTGGGTCTTACGGTGCATCACTTCTGTCTGCAGAAGTTGGAGAGAAACTTATTCCATTATATTCAGAGAAAATACTGGAATGGTAAGGTTGGAAAGTTGAAGGTCTCTCACAAACCTCAAAATCCAAAATGGCTGCCCTGGGCATTAAAAACGTGTGGTAATAAACTATTTATTTACTTTCCTGGCACTTTGCATCTCCTCAAATAAATAGCAAAAACAATACTTTACGAGTAGTGACCACGTCACAGTATCTGAACGTAAAAAATACTTGTTTTGTGCTGCTAATAGTAGTAAACCTGGTCACTGAGCGCCATAACGAGTCAATGCCAATTTTCTAAGTTGGAAGTGGAACAAAGTTAACTTGGATGTGATATTAATCCTCAATAACACCTCAGCAGAAAATGGAATGCAGCACTAGTTCTGTAGATTTCCTAATTACAGAAACTACAAGAAGTCTAGTTAGTGGTGAAATTAAATCAGGTATATTTAGTGTTCAATGAAAGCACTGGTAAACGTGGCCTTAGATAAAACCTACAATTCTTTACTCTGATTTCCTCATTCTGCATCCATGTTTTACTCAAAAGTGCAGTTAAATCCCATGCAACACATACTGTTCAATTCTTTTTAACACGTAGAAAAATAAAATCTTCAGCTGCGTTTATCCATTGCTGCTGTTCCACACCAATGGTTCCTCAACTTTTCAGTCTTTGACCCACAAAATAACAGCAGAAGAGACCTGCGCACTTAACATTTTTTGGTTGATAAACATTGGTATCAGGTCAAATAAACAAGGGCATAGCAACAATATTCACTATGTTACTGTTTTCCACTTTCATTACACTAACCTCACTTTTTGTAACAACTAAGGCAATAAATAGTTGTTAGTGTTCATTTTTAAATGCAATTAACTCAATAAATCTTTTCATGACTCCACCTTGAAGTTTCGGGACTCCAACATTGGGAACCACTGTTGTACACAACCACTGCCAGTTTGCCTTGCTTACATTTTTGTAGCCATTTACCAATTTGAGACCTGGGAAATTTAAGAATATACTGAACTTGATTTACTTTCAAATTTTGCATAAATGACATATTTAATGTGGCACTGTGGCTCTTCATATCACTTTCACTGACATGCTTAAATTAAGTCATGAAGAATATCAATGCAAGGACCAATGCTTAAATGGCTGAATACAGTATTTTTAAACATTTTTATTTTCCTCTTTTAACTATAAATATATTATACATATGTATTCTAACTTCTGTCCAGGGTGTACCCCGCCCCTCGCACTGTGACTGTTGGATATGGGCACCAGTGACCCCCATGACCCTGAAAGGAAGAAGCGGGCATAGATAATGGATGGATGGTTTTACTATATCCTACATTAGATTTGCTGTTTCGCTGTGCCTCGTTACAAAACTCTCTCAAAGTCACATCTATTTCATTGTCCTTTTCTGTTTTAGCGTGGCATTGTTTAACACACAACAAGCATTAGCGGATGTACCTTTATGTGTGCTTTGGCTTTGTTAAGTAGGCCCAGGGTGGTGTGGCGGCTGCAGTCAGGTCCCAGAGGTATGAGGGCCTTCAACCTCTCTAGACACAGCCGCAGGTGAGCTCGTCTATACAGGAAAGACAAACAGGAAGGAACAGAATACCTGGATAAATACAAATTCACAATAGGGTGTAGACAATGTCATTTAAAAGGCATCCTGGAAGGCAAGTCACCTGTTGAAAAGTTGTTCTGTCTGTTTTGATTGTCTAATAACTACTATGTTCAATCAACTGCCTTAAGATTCCTGAAATTCCTAAAACTGCACAGACGCAAATCAAAGTGGTTTGTAATCTTTTGAATGCAGACTTAATAAGAACTGCATTTTTACCCCACTGAAAGAATCCAACAGCTATATTTTGTGGCTTATTTATAAGAAATCCCAAAACACAAAAATCACATATAATTATAACATAAACATTGAGGTGATTCATTATGTGCTGTGGATATTTCTTGTGTCTATCTTTGTTACAAATAAATTTCACCAAGTAGAAGTAGAAGTAGGATGGGTTATAGCGGCTGTGGTGTAATGACATATTCTTAGCTCTGCACAGCTCGTGCACTCCATCACCCTGACGTTACCGTATTCTGAGATTGGAGAAAGGCCATAGGTACTATCTATCCAGCTAATGGACCCAACTTCAGAGGTAAAGAGAGATAATTGTAGCTTTAACCCAATCAGGGATCCATTAGTAGGGCCAGCCCTTTAAGGAAAAAGGTTGAGAGACATTAGGAGTCAGTAGACTCAGTGGACTGACCCAGACTTGTGTTATAATCTCAGGGGCAACCCAGAAGGAGACGAGCACAGAGGACCAGAGCAGGAATCCAATGCAAATGCTGCACTTTGCTACGCTCTGCTGCTTTTTTAACTGGTGGTTGCGTGCAAGCAGAGCATATCTGGTTGTGTGCATACGAGTGGGTGTTTATGTGTGTGTGTGTGTGTGTGTGTGAAGTGGTTAAGCATGGATAGTGCTGATAAGAGCAAGCCATTACAACCATTACACCAGTACTGTATGGGCTATTGTATGGGAACAAATGTGGCATTTCTGCAGACTAAACACACCAGCAGACGTCTGATGCGGTCTACAGTGCCACAAGTTTGGAAGTCACAAGAAAGAGGCGCACACACACACGCACGCACGCACGCACGCACGCACGCACGCACGCACGCACGCACGCACACACACACACACACACACACAAAGAAAAGGTTTGCATGATGCCCATCAGTCTGGCTCAGGTTATCTGTCTGTTTAATCAGCCCTATTCAACCACCTGGACCACAAAGATGTATATCCATACCTTTCACCTGTACACACACAGACATCAACCAGCATCTATTCACATTCTAACAGCTGGTAAGGTGGGGTGGGGGGTCGGGCACACCTCTCTCTCCACCTGGGAGAGACTGCACACAAGTGACGGACGAATATTTCTTGACAAGGTTTAGTTTCTGATGATTGTATTCACAATCATTTATGGTTATGGAGGAACAAGGCATTAAGTCTATTTTACAATTCAAAGTCGATGCTCCTATAAATTATTTATTGTGATGTTACAACTGAAGACCTTTTTTTAAATTACACAGAACAGCAACTGTGTACTTGACACAAATGTACACTTTATAGTTCTAAAACCTCACATCTTCTGAGTGTGTATACGTCTTAGTCACTCCTACTAATTATACTTCTTAGGCACTAGCTACTTTCCTCTTAGTCGCAGACAGTTTTTCCCACAGATAACCAGCGTCGGTCTGATAAAGCTGTAAGAGACGAGCAGGACGCAGCAGTCATGTGTGGGCCTGTCTGTCTGAAAGTCCTGCCTGTCGGGCATTAAATCAACCAACTCCAGACACCAGAGACTCGGCTGAGACTGAAACCACCATCTCAGCAGACAACCTAAGATAACCCCCATTTACAAGCGCTCCTGCTTTTCGTCCTTCCCTTTGACTTTACTCATTGAAAAGAAAGAAAAATGGTTCAGAGGGAGCCCATGTATGCCAACAGGTACAGCGGAGTTTCACTAAATTTCTAGCCTTGGCAAAGACAGAAATATTTTATGATTGCTCCAAACCCTTAAAACCACAAATGAGGTGTCACTTGTCGGCCTGCTGATTCAACACAAACACACTAATCACAAGATGACGTTGCTGTGGATGAAAAACCTCACCTCTTTTAGACTTTTTTTCCCTATTGTTTTAGAGGTCACTTTTATTTCCCTCTTTAGGCACAAAAAAGAAAATAAAACAACTTGTCAGCATCATTAAGGGATATTTCTTATTGATGGACACAAGTAAAAAATTCATGCTGGCATTTTTCCTAATCTCTCTGTGTGTGACACACCCAACTCTGTAGCACTGATAATTATAGATGAGAAAGAAGCCCCCAAAGCACTGGAGGGGATGCCCAAGGAGAATATGTTGTGAAAGACAAACATGGAAAATGTACATTTTTGCAACTCACATTGGATATCCTGGTTTAAGAGGTCACAAACTTTGGAATCATTCTTGCAAATAAATTTCCCCAATTATATCATCATGGTCATGGGTCTTTATGAAGCTTGTACAAAGAATGCTCGCTGGTGAATCACCACCACTAACCAGACAGCAGATTAACTTGTTTGTTTCAAGTCAAAAAGCCACAACATGATGTCGTCATTTTTACTCCTGACAGCCGGTATCCTGAAGTCTCTACGTTTTGATGAGCTAAATAGGGTTGATTTACAGGCAGAGCCAAACATCACCCTATCTAGATGACTTTTAAGTGCTTCAGGAAGAGGTCAAAGGTCATTAGCTCCCAGTGATAACCCCAACACAAGATTGGTATCCCTAAAAGTGGTTTGTTTAATAAGTAGACCCACAGATGAAGAGATTAAAGCAAAAAAAAAAGAGTTGAAGCTTGTGACCGTAAATACCTACATGCTGCAGGCACCATCTTTTATATATAATATTTAAGCATATATTCTCCGCCCTCTTGGAGCCACATAACCAGCAACACAGGTTTCTGTTTTCAGAGTTCTTAGAAAAGCCCGGTGCAGGTTACATAAACAGCTACGGATTTACCATGAAGCCTCATAACTTGGCGTCCTTGGCTGCTAATGCTCAGGATTTGTTGAGTATGTGTGGTAAGAGGATGTGACATTGCAGAAACACAGGGTGTTTCCATGGCTTGCTGTTAGTTCAACACATTGGTGTTAGGGAGGTAAAACTACTCTAAATGAAAAAGTGGCCACACCCTGAGCTTATTATTATCAGTGTGCATTGCCAATGCAATGCACACAATTGTGATTCGTTTCCCATCCAAGTCATCTCCACTTTGGCACACTTCTCCTCCTGCATACTTTGTCCTAGAGCTGCCATTGTAATTTATATCTGTAAAGCTCCTGTGCCAAATGATGGCTATGCCTTTTGGTGCCTGTACAACTTATAGTTTTTGAAATATTTATGTTTAATAAATTATAATGGGAGTCAATGAACCTTGTATTGGTCCAATACTGCCCCCTGCTGTATCTACTCAGTATGGAACTGCACCATAGTTTAATAATTATATTTAATCTCAATTACTGCAGTGATTAAAATATTGATACATATGTAATTTTATGTATTACTATATTATTGTCTTTTAAGCATAAACATCTTAAATGATATTGCTCTACTGTTGTGATATTATGCAGTTCTTTGTCAACGATCGTCATTGGCAATGTTGCCTCTATCTACACACATAGAAAAAAACACTGGGATTGTACTTTCTCCCAGCACCAATGGTCTTGTGGTTAATGCCATAGCCTTTCATGTGGGGAATCAGGGTTCAAATCCCAGCTACAATAAAATTTAACAAAAAATTTATTCTAACTTCATATTTTCACACAATTACCCTCATTACAAACACCTGCTGACAGCCACAAGCTGGTACTTGATTAGAAAACACATTTGAACTTGGTCAGTTCATTCTGCAAGTCCATTGCTGCAGGCAGTGACATGCTACAAGGCAATGCACACTTGTTTTTACATCGTAAAAACCCATGTCTAGTTGTTATTATTATTTACCTGCTTATTCAAACAGATGCTAAGACAAAATGAGACGAAAACTTTTTAAAACATAAGATCACATTTAATCAAACAGACATATTTTTCTTCTCTTCTTGCCTGGTAGGTACATGTGGGCAAGCAGCTGCACCTTTAAATCCCACACTCTCTTTGACAGAGTACATCTATGGACAGATCGATCTATAACGTAAGCAGCTATTAAAAGAAAACCACATCTAACGCTGCCACTGAAGCTGCTGATCTCCCCCATGTGCAGGGGAGTTACCTGGAGCTCACAGAGAAAATATTCACAGCCTCGGGAACAAAGGATTCCAGGTGATTTTAGTTCTTGTTCAACCAACAATATGATGAACTGTGTTGCAATTTATACTTGCACTGTATTTTTATAGTTAAAGTCAAGCTTGAATAAATAAAATGTATTTAATCATTTGAACAAGACAGGCACTTGGAAATAGATTGTTTTAGATAATGACACATTTTCATTCAACGTCTTTGATGAAAACAATTAACTCCAGCTTTCAGTTCATTTCTCATTGACATTATGCGCTCCTCTGCTGTATCCTTAAAGGATGGCAGGCATCCTCCAGAGACAATGAGCTGCTTCTACTCACTTCACTGAAGTATGTAGGCATGTGTGTTTCTGTCAAGCTTGGGACTGTGCTGTGTGCATGTGAATAGGTGTGTGCCCATGACTTGTGTTTCTGACAGGCCCCAGATGGGTGCACAGGGAGGCAGCTCTGCCTTTTGGCTTTGACATGTGAGCAAGCAGCCAGCCAGCCCCGGGTCACTGCACCACACCTTTCCTCTGCATCTAACCGGCTCTTCAGACAAAACTTTACTTGAATCATTATGTTTTTTTAAACCTAATCCAACAACTTCTTAGCTTATTTCAAGTTAAATTATAAACTGTCCCTGCTGGTATGGAAAAGCTACCTAACATACAACTCTAGCAAAAGCTCTCAGTGCAACGGCCCACCACTCAGCTTCTATTGTTCCTGGATCATCCACACGTGCAGAGTGCATGT